AGTACCCCCCTCCATTATACCCCCCTCCCAGTAGCCCCCCTCCATTATACCCCCCTCCCAGTAGCCCCCCTCCATTATACCCCCCTCCCAGTTACCCCCCTCCATTGTAGCCCCCCTCCATTATACCCCCTCCCAGTAACCCCCCTCCATTATGTCCCCTCCATTATGCCCCCTCCCAGTAACCCCCCATCAATATCCCCCCTCCCAGTAATCCCCCCCTCCAATATACCCCCCCTCCAGAGCCTCCCAGTAACCCCCTCAATATTCCCTTCCAGTAACCCCCCCTCCAATATATCCCTGGTAACCCCCTCAATATACCTCCCAGTAACCCCTCAATATACCCCAGTATCCCCTCAATCCCTGCCCCCCTCAATATCACCCCTCCCTCCCAGTAACCCCCCTCCAATATACCCCTCCCAGTAACCCCCTCCCAGTAGGCCTCAATATACCTCCCAGTAACCACCTCCAATATCACCCCCTTCAGTAACCCCCTCAATATATCCCCCAGTAACCCCCTCAATATCACCCTCCCAGTAACCCCCAATATGCCCCCCAGTAACCCCCCTCCAATGCCCCCCCAACCCCCCTCAATATCACCCCAGTAACCCCCTCAATATCACCCCTCAATATACCCCCAGTAACCTCGATATCACCTCCTCCCAATAACCCCCACTCAATATACCCCTCCCAGTAACCTCAATATCACCCCCTCCCTCCCAGTAACCCCCCCTCAATATACCCCCCCGTAACCCCTCAATATCACCCACCAGTAACCCCCTCAATATACCCCCCCTCAATATAACCCCTCCTCCCAATATACCCCCCTCCTCCCAGTAAACCCCCCCTCACTATACCCCCTCCCTCCCAGTAACCCCCACTCAATATCCTCCACTCTCCTCCCAGTAACCCCCTCCCAGTAACCCCCCTCCAATATACCCCCAGTAACCCCCTCAATATCACCCCTCCCTCCCATTAACCCCCTCCAATATACCCCTCCCAGTAACCCCTCCAATATACCCCTCCCAGTAACCCCCTCAATATCACCCCCTCCCAGAACCCCCTCAATATAATGCTCTTCAAGTATACCCCATCCTTCCCAGTAGCACTCCTCTCTCCCAATATACCCCCTCCCTCCCAGCATCCCCCCTCACTACACCCCACTCCCTCCCAGTAACCACCTTCCCTATCACCCCCTCCTAGTAAACCCCCTCCTTCACACTACCTCCCCCTCTCTCCCAGTATCCCCCCTCCCTTACACCATGACCGCCTCCCTCCCAATATCTCCCTTCACTATCCCCCTCCCAGTATACACCCTCACTCACACTATCACCCACCTCTCTCCCAGTATCCCCCCTCCCTCCCAATATTCCCCAGTCTTTCCCAGTATTTCCAAGTCCATACCAGTATTCCCCACTCACACTATCAACCCCCTCCCTCCCAGTATTCCTCCCTCACACTATCACCCCCTCCCTCCCAGTATCCCCCCTCCCTCCCAGTATTTCCCCACTTACAGTATTACCCCCTCCCTCACAGTATTACCCCCCTCCCTCATAGTATCCCCCCCGAGATTCCACCCTGCCGGCTAATGTAGGGCTGGCATTGTCCAAGTGCCAGCCCTGCAATGTGCCTTCAGACCGGGAAGAGATATCCCTCCCCGGTCCGCATGCACTGTGCTGGCAGCCGGCAGGGGAGAGAGGACCCGGGAGCTCAGCCTCTCTACCACTGCAACGCTCCAAATCTCGCGAGAATGAACTCTAGCCCTGGAGTGCGGGCTAGAGTTCACCTCACCACCACTGGGACCACCAGGGAATCCCCACCGGACCACCAGAGATGGAGAAATGTCCCCCCTCCTCCCAGTAAAGGTAAAAAGGGAGGGGGGACATAAATATAGTCATTTTATTAAATACATTTTTTACAATTATTATTAAAAAGCCTCCCTAACCTCCCCCCCAAAAAAAATACTGCCCCCATACACACACTACACACACTGCCCCACAAACACTGCCCCCATACACACACACTCCACACACTGCCCCACAAACACTGCCCCATACACACACTACACACACTGCCCCACAAACATTGCCCCCATACACACTGCCCCACAAACACTGCCCCCATACACACACTGCCCCACAAACACTGCCCCCATACACACACTACATACACTGCCTGACAAACACTGCCCCCATACACACACTACACACACTGCCCCACAAACACTGCCCCATACACACACTACACACACTGCCCCACAAACACTGCCCCCATACACACACTACACACACTGCCCCCATACACACACTGCCCAACAAACACTGCCCCCATACACACACTGCCCACAAACACTGCCCCCATACACACACTAAACACACTGCCCTGCATCCCATACACACACTGCACCCATACACACACTGCCCAACAAACACTGCCCCCCATACACACATTGCCCACACACACATACAGTGCCCCCCCATACACACTCCTCCAAACACACATACAGTTCCCCCCATACACACTCTGCAACTCTCACACACACACTGCACCGCTCACACACTGCCCCACACATACACTGCCCCATTAACACACACACTGGAACCCTGACATAAACTGCCGCCTAACGCACTCGCACACACATTTCACCGCTCACACACACACACACTGCACCTTTCACACACTTCACCCCTAACACATACCATTGCTCCTATACCCTATATCCCAGCAGACCCCAGGTAAGTTGTCAAACTGTTCTTAAACGGTTTGACTACTTACTCTGAGATGGGATCCTGGCACTACTAGCACCATAACTACTACACTGAGCTGTAGTGGTTATTGTGCCTGGATTATTTCTTTAAATAATCTACAAGTGCCCCTCCTGAGATCAGGCTCTGGATCTGCCCCTGCACAGTATTCCCCCCTCCTACACACCATCACCCACCTCCCTCACAGTATATCACCTCCCTCTCAGTATTACCCCCTCCCACACACTATCACCCCTATATCCCACACACTATCACCCCCTCCCTCACCAGATCACCCCTTCCACACACACAAACTGTCACCACCTCACACACACAGTATCATCCCCTTCACACACAGTCACTCTCCCTTATACACACTGTCACCCCTACAATGTGGTGTCACCATACTCAT